CAATGCAAAAAGATCCATACGTACTAACAAGAATATAAACTTATATATTGCTTTATAATTCTTAACATACACACACACACTTAAGCATGCGCGCACAAAAGAGGTACGCATAAAATATTATAAAAACTTGAAATTTTTTTATTGTAAATATTTTTAATAATTGACGTATATTAGAGAGAGAGTTTACTTGTAATCCAATTAAACTCAGAATCATTACGTTCAAAGACAAGATGAGAAACGTCGCGGTTTTGAATGCTGAGTCTAGCATCTGAATGAAGCTAAAAGATAACAAAAAAATAATGATGAAATACGAGAATCTTTATGTAAAATATATGGTAAAATCATAATTGAATAATATTGATAAAATCATTATTTATAATAAAATTTTCTATAGTACAAACTTTATTGCGACTTAATGTTTCTTCAAACATGCAATCATCTCGCATAATACTCTCCAGAATTATATTCTTTTATTACTATGTGTTTTTTACTCATTGTTTCCTCTTCATCGTTAAGTTTAATTTTATCAAAAATATTTTCAATACGGATGCTTAAAAAATATATATGATAAAATCACAAGCAGTCTGCATCGAGATATTTTTCAAGCCGGAATAACCTTTAATTTTTTAATAACTTAATTGAACATAAAATATATCCCTTACTTTACTCCCTTACCCTATAGCGGAAAATAAACTACAACTATGTAACACACATACTATATACATGGTATCAACGTTTACCATACATCTGATACTAACTATAGCTGCAACATAATTATGCAATAAAATCTATATATATAAGCACCGTCTGTCTGTCTGTCTGTATGTACCCGAACTACTGCCGCATTTGTGGACCGATTTTCGTGAAACTGGTACCAAAATGTTGCAAATTTTTCGGCGGTGGCTGCTGTGGGTTTTTTTTTTTTAATTTTTTAATTTTTTTTTCTTCAGAGGAGAGTATGTTTTTGCGAAAAAAATCTTTTTTTGCAATTTTTCTGAACACATGGTATCAAAATGTTGTAAATTTTTTGGAGATAGCGACGATGCGATTTTTTCAAGTGTTACACCTCCACCCACGCACTCACTCACGCATTCACCTACACGCATGCGCATTTATGGACCAATTTTCACGAAATTAGTACCAAAATGTTGTAAATTTTTCTGAGAAAACTACTGTTTTATTTTTTTAAGTTTACGCCTTCCCCCTCCCTCCCCCTCCCCCCCCCCGCACCCACCCACGCAATCGCATATTTATGAACCAATTTTTTTTAAATTGGTACCAAAATGTTGCAAATTTTTGGAAATGGCGACGATGTGGTTTTTTCAAATGTTACACCTCCACCCATGCATTCACCTACGCGCATGCGCATTTATGGACCAATTTTCACGAAATTGGTACAAAAATGTTGCAAATTTTTCTGAAAAAGCTGCTGTGTGGTTTTTTTAAGTTTTATCTCACCCACGCATCCACTCACGCATTCACACATTTATTCACAGATTTTTTCGAAATTTGTACTCAAATTTTGTCGGGGATGGCTACTATATGATTTTAACAAATTTTTATCACCCTATTCATCCGCCCACGCACACACCCACGCATCCATGCACCCATATGCATACGCATTTATTGACCGATTTTCACGAAATTGGTACCAAAATATTGCAAATTTTTAATAGAAAGCTGTTGTGTGGTTTTTTTAAGTTTTATTCCAATCACGCATCTACCCACGCATTCACACATTTATTCACAAAGTTTTTCGAAATTTGTACTAAAATTTTGTAAATTTGTCGGGGATGGTCAATATATGATTTAAAAAAATTTTTAACACCCTATTCACTCACCCACGCAACCACCCACACATCAACAAATTTATAAACCGATTTTCTCGAAATTGGTACCAAAATTTCGAATATTTTTCGGGGATCGATAATATGTGTTTTCTTTTATTTTTACCACCCTATTCACACACTTACGCAACCACCCACGCACCAACACATTTATAGACCGATTTTCTCGAAATTGGTACCAAAATTTTGCATATTTTTTGGGGATCACTACTATGTGTTTTTTTTCACCCACGCACCAACACATTTATAGACCGACTTTCTCGAAATTGGTACCCAAATTTTGCATATTTTTCGAGGATCACTACTATGTGTTTTTTTTTAAGTTTTACAATACTACATACGCATTCATCCACGCATTCATACATTTATTGATTAATTTTCTCGAAATTGGATATCTATTTATATCTATATATCTATATATATAAGTTAAAAAATTGAGTAAAATCTAAAAAAGGATATAATGATTAAGTAATAAAAAAAATATTTAAAGTATATATTAACTAAAATAATGTTTTATATTTAAAAAATATGAAATTGTGTGGAAATTAAAATAAACAAGAAAATAAAAATAAAAATATATAATAAATATTTAAATATATGCAAAACGCGGTGTAAAATAAAATATATGGGAGAAAGAAATAGATAACATAGTAGTCATCCACAAAAAAATTTAAACATTTATTTTGGTATAAATTTCGTGAAAGTCGGACAACAAATGTGGAAGTAGTTTGAGGTAATACAAAAAAAATAATTAATTTTTTGTGTTAAAACGGATTTAATATAGGCTATATGAGGCTCCGAAAAGCTAGTTGGATAATAATATTTCTCTTTATCTACTCCCCATTCTCCCGCAATCACAAATACTGATGGCCGTGACTCATTCAACGGTATTATGATATCTAGAACTTTTGGTAGTAATGGTATTGTCATAAACATTATTACGAATATGTTAATGTACACTGCAAAGAAAACACATGTTGCCACAATAATCTTATTATTCCTCATTATTTTTCGTAATATAGAAATGTTTTTTTCAAATTTGATATATCTTAATAAATTAATAGGGTTAAGAGAGTTTATTTGATGCACTCTAAATTAATAGACATCATTTGATGCACTTTTGCGATTTTAAATTAATTTATTCGATTACCTGAATAATTTTGTTATTTTGTGGCCAATGTTAGCATATTGCCTCAAAATGTGAAATTCGGATTCGCTATGAAAAAGCTGCCAATGTTCGTCCATCAGTTGTAATAAATGTTGCAACTAACAATAAAAAAGAAAAAAAATTAGTAAGGATTAACGAAGTAATAATATAATTTTTATTGTTTATGAACACGCGCAGTGGATTGAATATAAAATTTAGTAGTGTATAAAATATAAAAATTTGTGCCTACTACAAAAAAAAATTAATTTAAATAATTACCACATATGTATACATGACATGCTATAAAATGATTAATGATTTGGTCAAAAATTCGTGATTGTCAAAAATGTTCTTTGTCGTTGAACAAAAAATGATACATGCGATTTACACATTACACATACACATCGATGTCAAACTTTTTATTATTTAGGACAACGTTAACTAATTTTAAAGTAGCACCAACAAGAAAGATAACATTAACTATACCTTCAACAGTCATACTCATATCACCCCAAGTATCATACAAGAAAAGCACCTATAAGTTAAAGACTGAACATTATCGATGGGCGATACTAATAATGAGAAAGAGGGAGAGAGAGAATTATATGAAATCGCTTAACAATATTTCTTAATTTATCTGTGACATATATATTATTTACACACTTGTTTGTACAATATTGTGTTCACCTGAGTTGCAAGAACAGACATCTCGGCGCTTACAAAAACAAACGGTAGCAATATCTTTATCATCCTAGACTGATAAGGCCAAAAGCCCATCTGCGACAAGAAAAATTGATTTCTAGAGTAGTATTGTAGCATGTCCTCTTGCATGTCGCGCAAAACAATCGCGAGACTGATCGCCCTCTTGTTAGGTACCCGATTGTAAAGAAGAATGTCAAGCGAATTCAGTGGCGAGAAGGATATATCATTACGATAATTTCGGGTTGTCAGAAAACGTTTGAAATGTTTACGCTATCCACGATAGGTAGATATTCAATCAATCTATAAAGAGAGAGAGTGTGTGTGTCATTGTCCGCTATTAAATATTTATATCTCTCTTTTTCAACGAAAAACATTTCCAAACGTTTTCGAACCAACCTAAAATTATTGTAAGGATCTTCAGTCGTATAAAGGAAAATGATAGAACACGAAATTATAAATTTTTTATAGACTAAAACTGACTTGGTAAACTACGGCAACGATTTTCTTCTAAGACATTCGCAGGATATTGAACAAATAAAATACACACTCATATTTCTAATATCAGATATGTCGTTTTATTATTGTTATAAATGTTTTTTTTCGTAAATGACATTTCGTTAATATAATGATTTTGCAAAGACGTCTATATTATAACCGCGTCTTTATTTTATGGATCCTAAGGCAGTGAAGTACGACATGGCAGTTTGCATCACCTTAAAATTAGATTCTTTGCAGCGTTATGTAATAGTTATTGTAAAGAGTATTTATATTTCAACCAGGCGTACCGTAGTGAACATTGTCATTGACATAATAAACATCTTTCCTGCCGAGAGTGTACAAGGAACGAGACTTCGATAAAGAAGTATTTTTAATAATTGTCTGCTTTTTATGGAGAAGGTGTACCACCGTGAACTGTAGCTAAAAGTCAAATACTTTTTTTACGATTATCTTCTTAGCAACTATGCAAATTGTTTATAACATTAAAATAGCAAAAAATTCAAAAATGCTTATATTAATACATGTTTTAAAGGAATAATTAATAAAGTTTTAAAGGAATAATTAATTATGTTAAGACTTCTCGTTATTTTGTTGATTGATACGGAAGTAATGAATCTGGACAGTGTATATTGTAATTGCAATGCAATTTAAGCTGTTTATGATAAAGTGGTTAAAGAACTATTATTCTAAGAACTATAATAGAACTATAATTCTTACGCCTTGTCGAAGACTTCTGTGCTTTTATCTATCAACAATTGTCCAGGAAAACACATGCATACAAGATGAGTAAGCGCACCCACAGCTATAGTCATGTATCTTACTACTTCTTCTGTATTTCCTAGTTTGTTGATAACCTGCAACAATTACGAAAAATATACATTAGTCTAAAATTCTATAATTTTAGAATAAGGCGAATTTGTCTTTTTAATTACAAATTATTTGACCAATTTAGAATTAATTTTGAAATAAAAATTAAGTTCGAAAGAAATTATTATTTGTAACTTTCTAATTTTTGGACACATACTTGTATCTTTATCATTAAATGTTAAATTATAAGTTTATTTTAAATTAACTCTACTTGAAATAATAATTAAAAACATTATTTTTTTAATCATTTGACTCTTCTCAAAATTTAATTTGTAAAAACTTTTTTTTGATCATCTATAATTAGAAAATTATTGATGTCTTATGACATTTTTGGTAAAATCGATTTTAAATTGGGCAAAAACTGTTCTATTGTTACAACATTTGACATATTTAAACATCTTGCGTAATGCTAAAAATCGATTTTTCAATAAAATCGTATTTTTTATCATTCTTACTTGTAATCCAATTATACTCATAATTAACACATTCAGAAATAGAAGAACAAACGTCGCTTTTGTAAATGTGGAGTTCAATATCTGAGCATATCTAAGAGAATATTAAATAATTTAATATTAAAAATTAAATAAATAGTTTTATTAATCAAGCAATTTTGTTATGATCATTAAAGTCATTAATATTATTATCGGCGATAAAATTACAAACTCTAATGCAAGTTGATGTTTTTTCAAGCATATTATCAGTTCGCGATAATCATCGCAATTGTCATTGATAGCATCGTATCTTTCTAATAAATGATTGTGCGTTCTTGTGCGCATTTTCTCATTATTGTTGGTTTTAACATTTATCTGGCCCATAATTTTTTTAAGACGATGGCTTGGAAATAAAATAAAATGTAAGTTATTATTTATATAAACTATTAATGTAATCTATATTGAAAACCTTTAAATTTATTTGCTCTTTTTTAAGAACAAAGAAAATTTTAAAAACATGATAAATTTATAGTTTATTTTCAATATATCACTCACCTGATAGCCGTGAATAAACTGCAAGCATGTAACACACATATTATATATATGGTATCGATGGCTAATATGATCCCGACAGTGATTACAGTCGTCAAAGAAACATGCATCAGGATCGGATAATAATATTTTTCTTTGTCCACTCTGTACTCAACTTCACATATGAATTTCAATGGCCGCGATTCATTCAATGGTCTTACGATATCTAAGATTCTCGGAGTTAATGGAATAAATAAATACAGCACCACCATTGTGCAACAGTATGCTATGAAAAAAGAGATATATTGATTTTATATTGCATTAGATATATCAAAAAATTTCTTTTTTATTTATAATTTTTTTATAAATTAAATATTAAAAACGTGAAACTTGAAAAAAACTTGATCTATTTTAATTTATAGTATTTATATTTATGATGGCATTTAATTATCACATATAGAATTTAACGTTTATATAATTACACAGCATAAAATAGAACATTGAACATTGCGCCGTTTTTGTCACATATTTAGTCATATATTTGAAACTTAAGATAATTATAAAGCATATTATTTTATTTTCAACAAAAAAACCAGCAGATAGAAAATAAAAGTTAAATAAAACAAATCTCAAAGCAAATGTTCAAAGTGACTTTCTTCAGCTAAAATATTCTGTTTATTCTTCTTAGCAATTTTGGAACATATTTATATGAACATTTTTGCTCGATGAACAAAGCACGCTCCTGAAGTAACAGCACATTTTTGTAGCACCCTCTATATTGTGTTTACACGCTCGTCTTGTCATTCGTGCAGTGACACTCGAACGAGTAGGTAGCGGCGCGATCCGCTTCTTACATTGCATTATTTCTCGATACGCGATCGCGACATATGTACATATACTACGAATTTTTACAATTAATTATCAGCTTGCGCGATTAATTAATGTTCGATAATTCGCGAGTGAGGGTGAAGGAGCTGCAAGGAATGAATAAAAAGAAAAAGTCATCGGGTGAAAAAATAGCAGGATGAGTACAATTTATAATGTTAAAACTCAATTTTAAAAAAGTGTTGTAAATTAGCTGTTCGCGAATATATTAAAGGATTATGCGAGACGTTAGGCTTATCCAAAAATGTTAAAATAATTTTAAAATTACAATACATTAAGTTATTTTAAAACGATTAAGTACCGTATTTAGGATATACTAAACATATTGATAATAATATTCTGATATAACATAATGGTAACATGTTAACTTTGACAGCTCGATGAAAAAAGAAATTTTAGCCCGATTTTTAGATTACTATAAATTATTATGTAATTTTCCATCATTCTCTAAAAATTAAATGTGTAACTCATGATTGTAAATTGTTCAAATTGAACCAACTTCTTTCAAATTAAAAAAATGTGTTTTTAATTATATTAAAAAAACCAAAGTCAATCTTGCAATAGTGTTACGTAGGTTTTTTATTGTCATTTCAAAATATTATTCATTACCTGTGTAATATTTCGTCACCTTTTGACCAATCTCAGCATAATATTTCAAGACACAACGATCAGATTTATTACTAAAGGCATTCCAATGATCATTCATGAGTTGCAATAAATGTCGAAACTGATAAACAATAGAAAAAGAAAAGATTAACAATAAATAAATACACATATATATTATATGTATTTAAAAACTCACTTTATCATTATATACAACAATATTAAACAATTTTGTGTTGGAACCAACGATAGGAATAATGGTAATTACACTTTCTACAGCTAGATCTACATCACCCCAAGTGTCATGTAATACAAGTATCTATGAATTAAATATACATATACATCGATCAATAACAAAAAAATAATTAAAAAATAGATATTGAATGATATATTTCTTAATGAATTTTATTTGCCAAAACGCGTTTACACTACTTGCACAATTAGTATATTAGTAGATACGTTACCACGGTTGCCATGAAAGAATACTGTACCATTATTAAGATACATGGTAGCAGAATTTTGAGTACCTTATGCTGATATGGCCAACTACCAATTCTCGACAAGTAGAATTTATTTCTGGCATAGTACTTTTCCATTTCCGCGTGCATTATATCGCAGGTAGTTCTTGTACGAATATCTCGTCGCGAATCAGTCTTCTTTTTAAATGTCTGATATGAGGAAGAACGGACGTAGATAACAAAAACAATGTAGTTACGATAATACCGATTGTCAAACTTAAGCGAGCCATAAAAGGCACGCATTTAGCTGATCGATATGAGATGTCTCTACATTCCAGCAATTTGCAGAAGATTGAATAATTCGGATAGAAATTGCAAATTGTTCATGAAATGATAAAGAAGTAGCATTTCTTCAGCAAAAACAATACAGTCGTTTCAGATAAGCGTGCACAGAAACGAACCGAGTAAGTTTAAATTATTTCAACTTTTAAGCAAAACATTTTGTTGTTTAATTTTTACACCCAGGTTGGTTTGTTGTAATAATCTATTATTATGCACATATTGTTAAATATTTTATTTGTAATGTTTCAAGTGTTAAAGTTTAAAGTTATAAAATATCCTTCTCTTGGCGAAAATGTCGCTGTATTAATTAAAATTGTAAATAATTAAATTGAAGTTTTATTTCAAAGATATAAGTTAAAAATTTGCAAAAAATGATGAGTTTTCTCGATATTTTCACTGAGGAAAAGTCCAAATTATCCGGAAAATCTGCTATTAATATGATATCTGGTGGTTTTGAAACATTCTATATAAATAATATATAAATATGTTATTATATATATAATGTTATTAATATATAATAATATATAATATGTTATTATTTTGTAATTGATTAATATATCCATCTTCTATATTTTACACCGCATTCACGCAATTACAAGAATTATAAGATATATAATATATTAAAAAAGGCACACACATTTTATATATAACTTTAAGAACATTTAAAAATTTATTTTTATTACAATATAAAACTATCTACTACAGATATTTGATTAGAATAATAATAAATGCATTATAATTATTTCAGAGAGGAAAACGTCATGTAGTAAGACATAGCGCTTTGTACTATCTTAAAAAAAGGAGAATATTATTCTTTTAGTGCTATCTTAAATTATAAAGACAAGGACGTTGTAAATATATAGTTTGTCATATGTGACTCTTACCATTCTAAAATTGGCCATTGACATTATGTATATTTTCCCGGTGGTTAACGTACAAGGTACTCCTGTAAAGCAATATCCATAAGAGTTTTTTGCTTTTTAACGAGAATGTATACCAATGTGATCTACAACTGAAAGATTTCTTGTCTAAGGAAGAGTTTTTTAAAATTGTATATACATTAATATAAATATATAATTATTAATGTAGCATGTTCCACAATTATCGAATATTTTATTAATATCAGATTCTCCGATCACATTCTGGACTTTTTGTTACTAAAAATGTCAAAAGAAATAAAGTGTGTTGCGTGTTTTAAATCTCCATCACATATGTTTTTAACTAAGTTATCGAATTAAAATTTTATTAAAATAAATTTCATCTAAAATTGATTTAATAGTGTCGATTTGCTAACTTCACAAAATATACTTTATCCTTTTTTTATAATTGCTTATGACAGGAAATTATTGATGCCTCGACACTTTTGCTTAAGAAAAAATTGTCTCAAAGATCAAAGAACTTACTATTAAAAATATGTCCGATAGTTTTTCCACGTTCTGTTAATATACATATTTTTTAAAAATATCTATATAAAAAATATCTCTTATAGAGAGAAACGCGATATATATATATATTGAACAGGATTGAAAAATATATGAGAATGCTGCATATCGTGTTGGGAGTTTGCTGTCTATTAAAAATCATGGAATATCTAGTAACTGTTATAAATGTATATAACTATTGTAAATAATATGTACTCGTATTATATTATTTTAAATAATGTTATTCAAAACATATGTTACATGTATATACTTTCCAACGATATTTTTCTTAACTTTTATCTATCAAATATCTTATATATTATTCTTATGCCTTATCAAATACGTTTATGCTGTGATCCATCAATCTTTGTCCCGGCAGAGACATGCATAAAAGATGGAAAAACTCTCCTAAGCACATACAGCTATATCTAATGGAATCCTTGATATCATCAAGATTACTTACTACCTGGATACAAATAGAATTTGATACAACAATTATATACTGTGTGTTAAAAATAAATTTTTCCTCTTTTTTCTAAGACATGTAATAATATACTTGCTTGAATTAATGAGAGGCTCATGGCGAGCATATTACATGCCAATTGAATGCCTGTTGATAACATGAACGAAGATTCCAATATGTGGGTATATCTGATGACAAGAATATAATTCGTGATTTTTAGGAATATATTCGATAAATTCTTTACGAATCTATTTCTTAACTAAAATTGTAATTTTCAGATAAATTAATATTCAAATTTCTTATAAGCGCATGCTCATTATTGAAATAATTGAAAAGCAGTACTCTAATGCCAGCTGATGTTTTTTCAAGCAAATAATTAATTCACGAAAAATTCTCTCTTTGAAATCAATATCATCGATATCTTCCATGTCATACGTTCTTTCTTTATTTCTCTTCAAGTAGCTCGTCTGACTGAATTCTCTCGTAACTATATGCTCTAATCGATGTCTAAAACAAATTAAATTTCAACTGGGTTTTTCTAAGAATTGTATTGTGATTATAGAAAAAAAATAAATCAATTGCATAATAATAATAGATACTGAATTTCCAAAATTTTTTTATTAAAGTTTTTTTTACTTTACACTCTCAAATTTTAGCACTTTACACTCTATAAATATAGAATTCTAAATATGAAATGCAAATTTTGTTACTGTATGTATAATTTTAATATATGTAATAAAAAAAACTGTTTTTATACATTATGGTAACTATTAAAACTATGTTTACCCGATGGCTGCAAATAAACTACATCCATGTTTCAAGTAAGCAATGTAAGTAGTGTCAACACAGACCACAATTGACATGAGTGTTACAATCGCCACATATGAATGAAATAAGATGAAATAGTAATATTTCTCCGATCTATGCGATATTCGACTTTAAATAGAAACTTTCGCGGACGACTCTCATTGAGAGGCATCACAAGGTCCATAATCTGCGGCGTCATTGGCATTATCAGGTACAATGACGTCGACACGTAAACGTAAGCTGCGAACAACGATTCGCACTGTGCTATCGTTTGATCCACATTTATCATGTAATATTTATAATGACAGCTATTCACGAAATAAATAAATTTACGATATTCTAAATACCCGATCAAGCAAAAATGAGGATGATTGGCTTCTTACTTGCATAAAATACTACCACTTTTCTAGTGAATATAACGTAATTTTCTAAGATCTTGACGTCCGTAAAATTGTTAAACACTTTCCAATGATATTCCATCAGAGAAAATAAATTTCGTACCTAAAAGATTTAAAAGTGGAAAAAGATATATGGAAAGTGTTTAGAATATTATTCCATGTTGTTACATTTTACGAATTTGCACGATGTTTGGACATGTATCTGTTGGGATGTGCTGGTCGAGACAAGAGACACGGTTTTTCTTTTATTAGGAGACGCGGTAGTGTCTCCGGCCATGTTCAAACCCTAAAAGACCTTAATTCAACCCTAAAAGACCTTAAAAGACACTACAAGTCTCCTTATCCTGCACCATCAAAGTCCATTTTTTGGGGGTGTAGAACTACTAAAATATAAAAAATTTTGAATTGCACGTAATATAACCTGAAGGCGGCATCGCCACGAGTAATTTGAGCCAAGAAGGAATAAATCGGCCAAGCCGTTCTGGAGATACAAGCGGTCAAAAAGTGACGTTTTTCATGAAAAATGAAGTAACGTCGTCTTCTCTGTCCGCGTCCGCTGACGTCATCAGGATTATATATAATATATATATAGATAATAATATATATATAATCTCTTTCACCTTTACTCACACCCTCCCTCAACTTCCCCCACCCCTTTCCCTCCCACATCCCGC